GCGCCCCCCCGCGAGCCCGGGCTTCAGGAGCCCGGCCGCGCCGCTCCCCGGGACCCGCGGAGACAGCCCTCGCCGCCCCGGCGCAGCCCCAGCGCGGAGCTGGGGGAGAGCTCTGCGGGAGACCCTCACCAGAAGAAGGTGTTGGTGCCGTCGTCGTAGACCTCGGACTCGGTGCTGCGGGGCGCCCCTCCGCTCGCCCCTCCGCATTGCTCCTGACCCCGAGCCGCTCCGCCCGACGTCTCGACCCCACGTAAACCGGGTCACGGGCGCGAGCGCGCAGCGCACGTCGCGGGGAGCGCTGGGAAGGGGTCGCGGCGCCCGCCCTCGGGGTCTCAGGAGAGCGGGCGGGGGCTGGCCAGGAAAGGGTGGGCGGTGCATTGTGGGACTTGTAGTCCGCGCAAACAGGAGCGGGCGCGGGGCATGCCGGGCCTCGTAGTCTGGCGTCACTGGTTGGCAACAGTGCTTGCTTGGAAAGATGCCGCCTAGTTGCGAGGTAACCGTGGCAGCATCCCGGGTGTACCAGGATGCCCCAGCGCCGCAGAGGCGCGGCGTTTCCCCTGGCTTCTCACTAGTCGCTCCAACCCCTCGGCCCCTTCCAAAACGGACGGACGTGGACCTGGCCAAACTGTCCCTTTTGGGGCTTCCCAGCCTTCATTCCACGTGCCAGCAGTAGCTCCAGGACTCCATCCACTGGTCGGCGGCTAGTTCTTCCGCGGATCGCGTGAAACTGGGCGGTCAGAATAGTGCGGACATGGTTGACTCAAATTGTTCATAGAGATGGGCCCTGATTTTTTTTTTTGTTTTGAGAGGTTTTTGCTATAGGGCGCGTCCGCTCGCCAGACAGACAGAGAGAGACAGAGACAGAAAGCGAGAAATCACCCCCCAGGGGGGATGGTCACGCCGCAATCCCTTCTCCTCCATTCTCCTCTGGGGATCTTGGGCACGCACGCACACGCGCCCGGAGTGAGTTCTAAGCCACCGGGTCCGGGACGTGAACCGCGGTCCACTACGTGGGAGTCCAGTGACATAGCCATTACGCTAACTGCTGGTTCCCAAGGGGCCCTGATTTTTAAAAATAATAGTCCAGGGCTACTTTGAAAAGCAGTCTGGCAACTCCTCAAAGGGTTAAACAGAGTTCCCATGTGACTCGCAACTCCACCCCTAGGCTTGAAAACACCTATCCACACCAAACTTACACACTTTTATAGCACTAGTTACAGTAGCTAGAATGTGGAAACAACACACTGTCCGTCAGCCCATACACACAAAGTGGCCAATTCGAACTGCGGGAAAATATTGGTCACAGAAAAGAGTGGTATAGACCTGATACAATATGGGTGGACCTTGAAAACATGCTCAGTGAAAGAGGCCAGTTGAGGAACCAGCAGTTGGCGTAATGGCAATGTTGCTGGACTCCAATATAGTCCACCGCTGTTCGAGTCCCGGACCCGGTGGCTTAAATTCATGCCGGGTGTGTGCACGTGCGCAAGATCCAGAGAGGAGAATGGAGAAGGTATTGTGGTGTGGCCATCCCCTCGAGGGGTGATTTCTCGCTTTCGGTCTCTCTGTGTCTCTCTGTCTGGCGAGTGCACACGCCCTATAGCATAACAAAAAACCCCTCTCCAAAAAGAAAAAAAAAAAAAAAAAGGAAAGGAAAGAGGCCAGTCCAAAGACCCTAGTATTATTTGACCCAGTCATATGAAATATGAAATGTCCAAAATAGGTACGTCTATGGAGACGGAAATAAGATTGACGAGGAGAGAGAGCTTGTGGAGTGACTGCTCCAGGGCAGTAGGCTTCTCTGGGGGTGAGGAAAATGCTCTAAACCGGCTCTGACGAGGGTTGTACATATCTGAATGTAGTAAACCCACCCAGCTGCTCACTGTCGAGTGAGTGAGTGGGTAAATGGTGGTGGCGCGTGGATACGTCCAGCTCAATAAAGCTAAACTGTACTTCCCGACTCCCACACAGCCCCACCCACCTCGCCCGGCCCGATTGTGACGCGACCTTGCATCTCACTCCCTGATAGGCCAGCGGGCAGGCTGGGCGGTCCCAGGAGCTGCCTCCCGGAGTGAGCTGCTCCGCGTTCGTAGGGCGGGCGGCTGCCGGCTGCCTGCCCCTTGACCTACCCTCTGCCCCAAGTCCTGGCCCCATCCGCCTACAAGGGGTGTGCAAAGGGTTGCCTGGTGGTTGGGGCAGCCAGCTCCACTGTAGCAATTCTCCGGGACAAGTGAGTGTACAACTGGGTGGAGACCAAGCTGGAGAGGGGAGCCTGGGCTGGACCTCGGTCCCGATCCTGAGGGCAGTGGGGAGCCATTGCGGGACTCTTCAGTAGGAGAGAGGTATGATGAGGTCGGCCTAACCCTGGCTGCGTGGGGCAAGCAGGGCGTGTGGCCGCCCCGTACTGGACTGACTGCATAGCTTGACACAGAGGGGCGGGCCCACTTTACCGGGGAAGTGATGCTGATGTTCCCAGCAGTCAGTCGTCCTCCCGCCTGCTTCCTACGGCGTTCCTTCTCCCACCCCAGCCGGTGGCGCTCACAGTCCGGGCGCTCTCCGAGTGGTGTTGGGATCGTTTCCTGGGAATGGGTGATTTTCCCAAACTGCGCCGAGAGCCACCGAGGCAGAGCGGGGAGACCACCTCCTCTCGAAGGCGCGGAAAAAAGAGGACGTACCAAGCTCCTCGGGGTCCCCGGCGCGCCGGGGACACTGCCCGGAAGGCGGCCTCTGGCAGGTGCAGGGCAGGAGCCTCCGGGCGTTGCCTGAGACTCGGCACAGCCAGGGGCGTGGTCTGGAGGTGCCTGGCCGGGACCGCTCTGCTCCGGACGCGCAAACCACGTGTTAGTTAACAATCACTACCCAGCTCTGGCCACGTGCCAATAAGAATTTACAGCGCTTTACGAATCCTAGCTATTGGGATCTTAACACTCCCCTGGGTGCCCCCTCTTTTTTCTTGAGAGAGAACGAACGGGAAAGGGAGAGAAACAGAGATAGGCGTTTTTGATCAGGTCTCTTTGGGAAGAGATGACCTGCAGCCTCCCGACCTCCCAGTTAGGTAGCCGCACCAGGCGTGTTCAGGTTGGCCTGGGTCTACTTTTTCTCTCTTTCAGAGATGGAGGAACTGTGACATAACATAGAACAACATAAAAGTTGGGGACCCACTCACTGGACTCACTGGGCACCTTCTTCCCCATTTAGAACCCTCAGCCTCTCCCCATACTCCCGCACTCTGCAGGGGGGGGGCTCTCCTCTACCTACAGCTTTGCACCTGGGGCCTGATACCTTCACCCACCCATCCCTGGCTTGACCCTCTAGTTCTCAGAACTCCCGCCACCAGGCTACGGAAGTGCTCACCCCTGCCACTCAGGCATGCCTGGGCTGGCGGGGTCCTTGGCAGCAGGTGGAGACAGGCCAGCCTGTCATGGAGGTGAGATCTGGGAAGACTAGTGGTTTGTGACTGAGGTGGCTGAGTGGCAGGTGATAGGGACAGCAGAGCGGCTTTGAGGATGTGGTTCACCGTGGTGCCCTGAGGCAACAGGACTGGGGGGCTCCCCTTCTTGGGGAGGAGTGCCTGGAGCAGAACCCTTCCTCAGCTGCTTAGCTGCCTGCCAGAAGCCGGAGGGTGCTGGAGCAAGGCAAGGGCATTCAAGGAAACGGCCAGTCCCTGCCCTGCCTGGCCCGGGACAACCAGGCCAAAGTTCACATGGGCGTGGCCCGTCCTCAGTTTCTGTAGGCTGTAAAGTCACATCAAAGTGGGAAAGCGTGAAACCTGGCAGAAATGATTTCTAAAAATACCTTCACTACAAAGGGAAAGGAAGCCGGTACCTCGTAAAGGAACAATGGCTTTATTTCCAATAATGTGGCAAGTCTGCAAGGTGAGTCGCAGGAAACTCACCCACCACACACCTGCCGCTGGGAGTTTTCTCAGGCTGACGAGGGAGCATGGACAGCAGGACTTCCCGCGCAGCCAAGCGTGGCTCTCTGCTCCCTGAGACAGGAACAGGAACTGCTAGAAATGTAAGGTCGGAGGTGTCGGGGGTAGTCAGGGAGACAGAAGTGAGGGGCTCAAGTTTCTGACCCAGTGGTACCACTCTGGTGACAGGCAAGGACAGCTTCAGGCAGACCCAAGGGACACAGGCCCACCCTAGGAGAGGGGTCTCCCTTACAGGCCCCTGAGGCTTCCCTAGACAAGCGCTGTCAACTGATAGAAGCCATAGCCACCGAGGTGCCTGGGACCAGTCCAGGCGGATGAGAAAGGCAGGTTTTTGGAGGCACCGGCTCAAGCTGATGCCGTGTGGCCTGTGAGAAGAGTTCTGGGGGAGGCAGCAGAGTACCTCTGGCCACGTGCAGGCCGTCAGGCTGGGAGGGCAGACCCCTGCAGGACCGTGAGCGCAGAGGTGTGGGCAAGGTGTCCTTGCCCACCGGGGACACTCCACAGCCCTGGTTGGCATCACCCTGACCTCCGTGGGGTGGCCACCAACTCAAAGGAGACAGCGGCAGTAGGGCACTCTGGACGCTGCTGCTGGGCAGGCTGAGGCCACATGGGGGTTAGTTCCTGGCCCCTCTGAAAAGCCAGGCACTGTGTAGCACACCGGTAGTCCCAGTGATGCAAGAAGCTGACGCAGGAGGTTGGTAACAAGTGAGACCCTACCTAAAACACCACATGCACACACACACACGTGCACACGTACACTTCCCCGGGTGTCCTCCCACTCACCCACATTATACACTCACACACACACACACCCAGATGCCATACACACAGACACCATATACACAACAGGTGCCATACACACACACAGACACCATACACACACCCAGATGCCATACACACACACAGACACCATACACACAACAGGTGCCATACACACACACACCCAGATGCCATACACACACAGACACCATACACACACAGGTGCCATACACACACACATACATCTAGACACCACATACACCCAGATACCATACACACACTCCCAGCCCCCCCACATATATGCATGGATCACACACAGCCCCCACACATATATGCATGGATCACACACACACAGCCCCCCCACATATATGCATGGATCACACACACAACACACGCATACACAGAGGGAATGGGGGGCCTTCTGCTGCACTTTGGCCCTCCCAGGAGGAGTGTGAGTGGGTGGGCAAGGTCTCTGGAGTCTGACAAGGAAAGGGGAGCAGGGTCCAGGGTCCACCAGGGAGGTTCACGTGGGCCTTGACTGAAGTTCTCCGCCAAGGCAGGGCAGGGCCAGCTCTGCCAGCTGCCGGGCAGCTGGGTCACGTGGGTCACCAGGGGCTCATCTAAGGCACTGTCCCTTCTTCGCTAGCTGCATTCAAGACCGGAGGCCAAAGAGCAAGGCCGAGTCTAGGGGAAATGAAGTTTATGATGGTAGACTTCAGTGTGAAGATAAAGTACATTTAATAATAAAGCTTATAAAACTGATAATGAATTTGTGGTAGAAAATATGAAAAAAGTAAACTAGCATAAGGAAGAAGAGCATTTCAGCACGTTCACAGTGGTAAGCCAGTAGAAATATCAAGTTATTAATCTCCAGTATTTCAATGCAGTTTAACTTACTGAAATAAACAAAAAATTTTAAACATTTGCAATATTTTTAAAATTTAACATAAGCAGGTCCAATGTTCTATTAATTCTTTGACTACATATTTTTATGGCTCTTAATCAGCATGGCATATGCAATACCAGATTTGCTTAGATATTTTCCTATTGTGCAACATCTAGGTGGCTGGCAGTTTTTGCTGCAAAGGATATATTTTAATTATTTTGCATTTTTTTCCCTTAGGACAGTTTACAAAAAGTTAAATGAGAGACCAGCAGTTGGCGTAATGGCTATGTCGCTGGACTCCCACGTAGTCGACCGCGGTTCGAGTCCCGGACCCGGTGGCTTAAACTCACGCTGGGTGCGTGTGCATGCATGCCCAAGATCCCGAGAGGAGAATGGAGGAGAAGGGATTGTGGTGTGACCATCCCTCTGGGGGTGATTTCTTACTTTCTGTCTCTCTGTCTCTCTCTGTCTTTCTAGCAAGCGCACACGCCCTATAGCAAAAACCTCTCCGAAAATAAATAACTAAATAATTTTAAAAAGTTAAATGAATGCTCCAAAGTTAATATTTTTAAGGCTTTTGAGCCAGCTCCATAGTAGTTAAGGGATCCCACATGATTACTGATTACAGTTCAAATCCCAGACTTGGTGGCTTGAAAGAAACAGAGCACATGCATACATGCCCCAAACCCCAACAGGATGGAAAAATAGAAGAGAAAGGGTGACTGTGACCACACCCTAATGGGGGGCACTTTCTCCCCTCTGGCAAATGCACAGCCCTCTGGTGAACGAAGAAACAAATAGGGACCAGCAGTTAGTGTAATGGCTATGTCGCTGGACTCTCATGTAGTCGACTGCAGTTCGAGTCCCAGACCTGGTGGCTTAAACTCACGCCAGGCGCGTGTGCATGTGTGCCCAAGATCCCAAGAGAATGGAGGAGAAGGGGGGACGGCTGCGTGTCCATCCCCCCTAGGAGGTGATTTCTCGCTTTCTGTCTCTCTGTCTCTCTCTGTCTTTCTGGTGAGCACACGTACCCTGTAGCAAAAACCTCTGCAAAAAATTTAAAAATAAATAAACTAAGGCTTTGGATACTGAGTCGCTTTCTCAAAGAGCTGGATCCATTTCCTTTCTATTGGTTTGCCCGAAAGGTCATAACATATTTTTTCCACGTAAAAATTCACGACTTTTCCAACATCCTCATGGACAGGACCAGGTGGAATCTGCCCTCCATTCTGCGAGTGAGTGTAGGTACTTCCACTGGGGGGTGAGGCCTGCTTTCATCATGTCCTCCTGCTCGCCCCAGAGACTGGAAGCACTGCCCTGGCTGCGAGGGGCTGTGGCTTCCACACCATGGCTCCCTCATGTGGAAGGAGGACATGAAAAGGAAGTTTCTGGGGCAGGAAAATTGGGAATGCCAAATACAGTCCCTGAGAAAGAAGGCTGCCCATAGACCTGCAGGGGGAAATCCATGGCGCGTCAGCAGACTGTTCTAACATGACAAAACTGTACATCTCCCAGGGAGGCTGAGTTGGGGATTGGGGCGGGAGGGCGCCATTTGTCACAAGGAGAATCTCAGGCTGGTTGGCCGCTAGGTCTGGAGTTTGGGCTCCTCCCGTGCTCGCTCTTACTGATTCTGTTTCCGAACCCTAACTCAGCATTCACGGGCCTCCGGTCTGCAGCAGAGCCTCCTGGATGTCCCCAGCGTCCTAGTTCTTCCTTACGGAAAGAGATCACACTCCCCAGGCTTCCTGGCAGTAAAATGTGGTCGTGTGACTCACCGTGTGGAGTGTGGCACCCTCCGTTATCACTTTCTCTTCCTGTTGGCTGGAATGGAGATGTGATGTCTGGAGCTTGTGCAGCCACATGGTATCATGTTAAAAGGATTCTGGGTCCTTGTTGACTACGGTTCCTCATACTATTCCTGCACAAATCAATTCCAGACTTCATTTACAGGAGAGAAAAAGTACACAAATTCGTTTGAGACACTACTTTTGGGGGTTTTCTATCATGCAACTCTGGATGCATTCCATCTGACTCTGCTCCATTGGAGTTGCAAAGATCCCGTGTCACAAGTTCCCTTCATCTTTGCCTGCTATACTTTGAACAGGGTCCCAGGTACTGTCGCGGACTGCCAGAGGGTCTCCCCAGCAGAAACGTGTGTGGGGCTGCATTACACCTTCAGCCTCCGGCGACTCGAGCAAACACCCGCCAGCCCTGAGCTGCAGCAGCTCCATGCTGGGCTGTAGCATGCTGCATCCCATGATGGCATGGGTGCTCCCTGCCCTTCAAGACACAGTGGGTGCTTGCGGCCCACCCCAGCACCCTGGTGCTGTCAGCATTTCCTGCCTGCTAAGCTCTGTGCTACATCTCTGCTTTGAAACAGTTTCAGAAGTGGCCTCCTCACTGTGGATAAGCCTCAGCCACCGCTGACTGCCTGGTGCCCCACTTCCCTCCCAGCCCCGGTGTCCTCGGGGGCAGTCCCACAGGACAGTCACTCTCCGGCCACTGGGAGTCTTCCCGGCTGCTGCCCCTGGCCTAGGCTGCGCAGATCTTGATCAGGGCCTGGGGATGAAGGGAGCCCCCTCTGTCAGTCGCCCATGCATGTACCTAGGGCCTGCCACGGTCCCCAAGACCCTCAGACTCCCCAGCAAGGGCCCACAAAGGGTTCAGGGTGGGAGAAGACACTTTATTTTGGGGGTGTGTTTTACTCTCTGTCCTTGCTCCACTTCCCTCTAAGGGGACCAACACTGGCTTTGGTGGGAGGTCAAGGGCTGGCTCTGGAGGCCACCTGGGGATGGTGTGACCCGGTTAGGGAGAGCTGGCGAGTGCTCACCTCTGTTATGGTCGCAGGGCTCCCCCTGGAAGAGGGACAGCAGTAAACCCCCCTCACCCCCAGCCGCAGGTGGCGTCCAGTTTGGGGAATCCCCTCCCGCCTCCCCTCACACCAGCCCCCATTATCGGTTCCGAGGAAGGGAGGAATGTTGAGACCCTCAGAGACCCAGCCAGGGAGGTTTCTGAGCCCGAGGCCGCCGGCTCCTCCCTGACTGTACCGGGCGGGGCGGGAGGCGCAGGAGGGGAGGGGTGAGCCCACGCGGAAGTCAGGTAGGACGCGCCTGCCAGCTTCCCTCGCTGGCAGCCACTGCGGGACCCGCCGCAGCCCGGAAGCCCCTTGACCACGGAAAGCAGCGCCGCCAGCATGAAGGTGAGCGGGTTGGATCCCCACTGCGGGGGGGCCCTCCTGCCACGCCCACCTGCTCCGGCTGCGGTGCAGCCTCACCTGGAAAGCACCTGGAGGGTTCCTCGCTGCCTTCCAGACCTGGTGAGGGTAGCCAGAGCCCAGCCAGAGCAGAGCTGCTTTCAGTCCCAGGGGGCAGGCCAGGGATTGGGATAGGACCCTCCGGTCGGGTCCGTCCCAGAGGTGCGTCCCGGGATTCTGTGAGACCTGGGGCTGCTCAGTGGAGTCAGTGCAGATGGGGGAGCCTGTTGCCCTGCCTTTCTTCCCCAGTCCACCACCCCAGCTGCTGCTGAAGACCCCCAGACCTTGGCTGCAGCTGGCCCTGACCCGGAGGGAGCCCAGGGCAGGCTGACCTGGGTTGGGGAGGCCCAGGGTGGCCCGCTAGACTATAGATCCTCTGCACCCTAGGGCCCTGCCCCAGCAGAGGTGGGGACCACTCCAGGTGGCTGGATTCTGATACTGTGTTGGGGGCAGAGCACGAGGCTCTGGGGGTGCAGGGATATCCAGGAGGACATAATTTCTCCCTTCTGCCAGTGAAGAGGTCACCTGGGGCTGGGGCCAGTGCCTGGGAAGTCCCAGGGAGGAGCCCCACAGTAGGATGCAGAGCGAAACCAGCTTCCCACTCAGCCTCCCCTGGCCTGGGTGTGGGCCCAGCAGTCACCTCTCGCTTCACCCCTGCCGGGGCCCATATGGCACCCTGGCTGCTCAGGCCAGCACGTGGCTGTCCCCTGAGCTGACCCAGAGGTTTCCCCACCTGCCCCTTCCTCCCATGTCAGCCCCAGATGGGGGTAGGGGAGACTCGGGACTGGGTCAGGGGAGGGGAGCAGCACCTAGTTTGGTGTCAGAGCATTGGTCCTCAGAAAAGGACAGGAGCAGGCATGGGGAGGACGCGGTGGCCCCCTGATGGTGCGGGCAGATCCCTCCCGTGGGCCTAGTGCCCCCGCTGGAGTCTCAGCTCTTCAGCTGCTGAGCCCCTACTCTAGCACAGACTCCAGCTTGGCCTTCGGGGTGGGAGGGGACGAGGTTTTCGGGCGTCCTGTCTTCTCGGATCTGGCTTCCACCCACCTCCAGCCTCGCCTCCTGGCAGCTTCTCTCTTAGGCTTTATGCTTCTGCAAAGCTGCTGTGCCAAAGACCGAGTCCCTGGGTCCGACCTTGGGCCTTCCTGTCTGTCCTGGGAGCGCTGCGCCCCTCGCTCATTCTCTGCCAGCCTCACGCCCTGCAAAGCTGAGCTCCTGGCTACCTCGGCTGCTGAGCAGGACCTGCCCTCCAGCCCCGTGTCCACCTGCTCCACACGCTGCTTGTGAGGGTACCTCAGTCTGCCTCAGTGCCTGGCGATGGAGAGAGGGAGGGAAAAGGAAAGTGTGGGCTGACAGGTGGCAGCTGGAGCAGGGGGGAGTGGGCAGGGAGAGTGGTGGCGACCGGCTTCAGGAGCGTGCAGGAGGATCTGCTCAGGGAGGCTGGGCAGAGGCGAAGCCCTGGCTTGGCAAGGATAGGCCTCTGTGTTTGCACACAGTAGTGGAGCTAGGAGGGTCCCCTTGCCTGCCAGACGATGGAACTGCCAAGTGCTAGGCAGGGCCTGAGGGCCCAGAGCTGTAACCTAGGGGTGTGATGTGGCCCAGGACCAGCCGGCCATGCTCAGGGACGTGTGCAGCTGGGCTGAGGTCACATGTGACCTGACTCCCCGGGCCTGGTCAGGAGCTGGGTGGTGGTCATCTGCACAGGCACCCCCTCTGCCCTCCTGTGCCCTAGAGGCTGGGCTGGAAAGGGTGCAGATACGGACAGGGATGGACGAGGCCTCCAGCTCTGGTTCCACTGCCCCTGGCCCTGGGGGCTGCACACTGGGTGTGTGGCCCATGATGGGTGGGGGTGTGGGAAGGAGGGGGGTAGGGCGACAGCCGTCCCAGTGGCCAGGTGTGTTGTTTGGTCTATCCTCTTCCTGCCTGTGAGCACCTTTAGGGTGACTCTGTGAAGCAAGGGTGTCACCCCAATGTGTAATGAGGAAACTGAGGCACAGGGAGGGTTGTGACAGCAACGCCAGGCCCGGTGGCCATCTGCCCAGAGACTGTGCCAGTCAGACCTGTACACAGCAGCACTGGGCCTGAAGCTCCAGGACCCCAGGCAGAGTGTGTGGGGATAGCCCTGTCCCTGCCCTGGGGATGTGGGACCCTGGTGGCCCACACGGCTTCCTGGATGTGGAGCTCAATGTGCTGGGGACACAGGGACCCTGGACACCTGGCCCCGGGCACACTGCACAACAGTCTCCTTGGGTGGAGGTGGGGGCAACTTTGGCTGAGACCGGCTCCCATCTGAGAAGGCCAGAGGGCTGAGAGCCTGGAGTCCTGCCGTGTCGGCCGAGGGCCAGTGAAGCGTGCCACTATAAACGCTGGCCCTGGAGGACAGACCGATGAGCAGCCCCATCTTGGGCTGACAGGGCAGCCTCACCACCTGGTGCCTGTCACTGTGGGGTAACAGGGGTCGAACTGGGGACCTCGGACGTGGCTGCTTGAGTGGCTGTTGTTCATCACCAAGGGGCCACTGAAGGCAGCTGGTGACGGGATGGCTCCATAGTGGGGCCAGTGCCTGCTGGCTACCTCAGGGGGCACCCCTCCACGGGTCCTGGTCACACCCCAACCCCCAGGGTGCCAGTCAGCAGTTTCCCAGAGGCGGCATGATGCCATTATGGGGGAGGGCCCTCGGTATCTGTTCTGGGACCGACTTGGGACCACCTTCCATTCCACTGACAGTTCTGATCCCAGGCCCCTCCCTGTCTGGAGCCCCTGCTCTGCTCCTTCCCACCTGGGGCGCTCCTCCGTGTGGGGCCTTGACTACTTTAGGGAGTCTAGCTCAGCCTCTGCTAGAGGAGCTGGGGTCCTGGGCGCGGAGGCTGGGGAAGGGCCTCCTCCAGGCTGGAGGTCAAGCGTTTCTCCGACACTTCATTTGACACAATGCTTCCTGGGCCCCTAGGGTGGGCAAGCCACAGAGCTGGAGCTGGGGCCAGGGACTCCCACGACCCGACCCCCTGCTGTCCAGTTGAGACCTCCTTCTTCCCTGATTCCTGCCCCCTCCTGGCATGTCTGTATGTGGCCTGCAGGTTTCTCCTCTGCCCAGGATCGGGGGAAGTTTCAGGTCCACACCTGAGCACAGGTGTCTGTCGTGGGCTGTTGGCGCAAGGCCAGGCAATGCCCAACAGTCTGGAGTGGGAGGAGGAGAACGTTGGAGGGAGGGTTGGCTGAAGCAGAAAGAAATGCCATTCTAGGAGGAGGAAGGACAGGGTGAGTTCATGGAGCAGCGGGGCAAGACGGGATTGCGGTGTGGCCTTGGGGCCCGGGGATGACATCTAGTTCACTTCATCTCTGACCCAGGCAAGCACCTGACGCCCGGGAGCCTCCCGCTCCCCGCAGTGGGATGGCTTTGTGGCTGCGTGACTGGGGCGGAGGGGAGGAAGGGTAGCAAACCCGGGCCCTGTCTTGGAACTAGCAGCTCCTGCCTGGCCTGCCTGTGGAGGGTGGAGGATGGGGGTTGGAGGAGGATTGCAGGCTTAGCCAGCTGAAATCAAGACCAGACATCCAGTGAAACGGGATTTCTGATAAATGGTATGTTTAGCGTCAATTTGTCCTGTGCTATCATTGCGCTATACTTACAAAGTATCGGTTTCTCTGACATTCAGCTGTGACTGGGTGGCCTGCAGTTTACCTGGCAGCCCTTAAGACCCACCTGGCTGGAGTAGTTAAGGGAGACTTGCTGGAGGAGGAATGTGAGTGGGGAGCCGGAGGGCCTGCGGTGGCAGGACCAGCGGGAGTGAAGGATGGGCCTGGACCATGGGCAGGACAATGGCAGCAGGGCAGGGAGCAGGGAGCAGGGGACGTGGGCTAGACGGAGGCTCCTGAGCCGGAGGAGGTGCTGGCCCAGGATGGGAGGGGAGGCGGCAGGGAGGCTGACCCAGAGCCCAGTCCAATGGGGTCCCCTAACCTGCCGTTTGGGTAAGCAGCTTGACTTTGGACTAGAGTTACCAGGGTGAGGGGTGAGGCAGGGTGGGATGGGATCTGCCCCGGACTGCCCCTTCCCCCTTAGTACCCTGATGCCATAGGGACCGCAGGGTCCTGTGCCTCCCAGGGACCGCCAGCTGGGACGAGGGCTGGGCTGAGGCCGTGGGTGGGGGTCCCTCTCACCGTGTGGGGCTCGGCATGGTTGCCAGTGCTGTGCTGGGGCCACAGGACATCAAACGGGCCACATAAAGCCCTCGGTGTCTGGCTGGGTTCTCAGCTCCCAAGCCAGCATCCTCCCCCTGACAATCTGACATGCCTCCTGGTGGGGGCTCCTCCCTCTGCCCCTCCATGCATCTGAGCTCTCCCTGACACGCTGTGTTTGGAACGAAGTAGAGAGCAAAGGTCCCTGCTCAACCAGCTCCGACCTCACTGTCCTCATCAACCCTCTTCTCCCCTCACTCCCACCTCCTCACCTGGGCCCTGCATGTCCCAACTTCTGCTCCCCAGGAGATTCTAGACTGCCAAGGGGCCCCCCGCGGTCACAGAGTCTCAGCCTCCAGGTCCCTTCCTTTTGCTCACTGAGAGCAAAGGAGAGCCCACCACCGCAGCCCCTGCCCCAACTCCCTGTAGCTGTTGCCTCCTCCTTTGTACTGCAGTGTTATTCCTAAAAAAACCCTTAAAAAAAAAAGAATTGTTTTATTTAACTTTATTTATTATTATTATTATTATTTTGAATTTTGACCAGAGAGAGACACAGAGAGAGGGAAAGTGAGAGAGCAAGCCACCTGGTCTGGGACTCAAACCGTGGTCGGCTATGTTGGAATCCAGCGCCTCAACCACCACACTACCTGCTGGCCCCAAAAGCCTATCTTTACTTTTTAGTTGCTTTTCACTTTATAAAAAGCTTATATGGTCTAGCTGTGGTGACGCCCACTGCTAGAAAGCTCTGCAAGCTGGAGCCCTCGGGAGACCCAGGTCCCTCCCTGGGGCCGGGTGCGGTGGCGTGCACCTGCGGTCCTGGGCCTGGGGGAGGCCAAGGCAGGAGGCTCACAAACTCAGCTCTGTCCTGAGCAGCACAGCGGAGCCCTGCTCATCTCCTGCCTCAGAGCGCAGGTGTGGCGGTGTGCAGACAGGAGTGGGAACTGAGGCCCAGTGCCTTCTGGGAAAAATGTTTTCTGCTGCAAGAAAGCATCTGAGGTTATGCTTTTTTATTTTTTTAAGAATTAATTTAATTTTATTTACTCATTCATTTATTCTTATTTGACCAGAGAAAGACACAGAGAGAGAGAGAGGGAGGGAAAGTGAGAAAGCAAGCCACTAGGTTCAGGACTCGAACCATGGTTGGGCATGGGG